CTTTAAACACAAGTAGAGACTAAGTATAATAAAAAAATTTGTTTGTTTAGTACAAGCCAAGTATAGTGTTAGATAAACTTGTTTATCTCAGATAAAAAGTAAAATGGAAGTATACTTTTTTTTTAGTTTAAAAGTATTATACTTAAAGGATTCTTGCACATACAGTACTACTTTTTGCTAAGGGTCCACTTTATAAAGACCCTATGAATGATTTAAATATGAAAAAAGGGGGATTTAAAAGCATGATATGTCTACTTAACAGATGTTAAATTTGGAACATTACAATTCTTTTTGTTTTTCTTGTTGTTTCCATATTTATAATTCACAAGAGTTCACTGTTAAATTGTAGGAGACACCAAATTGTCACATCAGTGAGTTAAAGTTTCCCAGTGAACTGGGAGAAGGGAGAGGTTTCCAGCAGCAGGTGGCAGTCCAGTGCAGCTGCTGGGATAGTGTTGGAAGTTTTCCATTCAGAATGAAAAATAAAGCATTTCCCTCAATTCCACCAAAAACAGAAGATTTGAAATGGGTCAGTGAGTTTCATTCCTCCAGATTGTTTTTATGTAAAAGTTCCCACTGAGAAATTGAATTATTCACTCCTTTGTTGCATCTCGACCCCACTCTCAACCCAACATGTGAAGAGTCCGTCTCTTTTTCCTCATGCTTTTTTTTTTAAATCTCTGTCTTTCAGACAGACCTCTTGAGATTAAGAAGCTCTTGAGACTTTTCCAAATATTGTCTTCTTCTCTCTGTTTTCAGTAGGTTTCACATTTGCACCGCTGGGTTCATAATTAATGTGTTTTCTGCTGCTGCATCTCAGATCTGACATTTCCCTCTCTGGGTTTGCTGCAGTGCTGTTCCAGACCTCTGGAGTAAAAATTCTGTCTCCAAAAACCTTCTCCAGCACTTCCCAAAACTGTCACAGAGCTCCAGGAACATGAAGGAACATGCTTGGGAGCCTTTTGGGTTGGTTTCTAAATAAAATAAACAATACTGAGGCAAAGTTTAATGCACATGGCACACACACTGAACTGGGGCAGCCATCTTGAACCAGGTTGACTTTAAAAATTAGTCGATTATAAACAGGTGTCACCTGMTTATTTTCTAAGAGTTGTCTTAAAATGTGTCCRTTGGTTCSTGAGATATTTTGCCAGTTGTATTATTGYCTCTTGCCTTTCAACAGCTGTGATAAAAACACTGAAATCGTTACGTCTTTATCAGCCTGGTAAAAACCAGGACCTTGTCCTACGCTCCGCTTCATACTGAGGGTCTGGAACCTCGGATCCCTTCGTAAAACGTAGTACATGCAAGTATCCTTTAAGTATACTAATTTTAACCAAAGTAATAAATAAATAAATAAATAAATAAATAAATAAATAAATAAATA